CAGCATCAAGTAATGAACAATTATTTCGGTGAAGTTTTTTAATCATTTTCATTTGCATGGCTGTCCACTCACATTCACATGCCGTTTTTCATTGAGTATGTACAAAGTACTCACAAACGTAGTTAGTAGGCTATGACAGCAAATCGAAATATTCCTAATTAATAGAGGTAGTAAGGAAAATTGTAGGTAGGGAAGATCAACTAAAATGCTTCGCACGCCACATTCAGCGATAATGATAGATTTGACTACGAACTGATTAACTCAGTAACATGACGGAGTGAAATCCCCACCAAAATCAGCATCTATTGAAGCCACCAATAAAAATACAATAGTAGTGACAAAGAAAGTGCTACTAGTCAAAGTCAGGGTCTAATAAGGGAATGTACTCGATGATTGGGTATACAAAGATCTGGCTTCACTTCACGAATAACCACATCCTGCAGTGGTTTGGGTAGTTGTAAACAAAATAAATATAAAAGGTGTGAGTAAAACTAATTGAGCATTCTGAGATTATTGTCAACAATAATTCACTGGAGAAGTCCTCCGTTATCTCTAAAATAGTTTCTCACATCCCGCCTTTCTCCCTTATAAGACCACGCTAGGATATGCTTTCGTATAGTGGTGGAAGGTGTTGTCGAATTTTTCTGTGCCTTATAATAAGGTGAAGTGGTTAATATATACAGACGCATTTTGAGGCTTTAGGCTAATCAAGAATAACTGAAGTGCTAACATCAAACAAATCTTGCTAAGTGTTTGGAACTGTTGCCTTTGAGTGTATGTGTGAAACCTGATTACTATAAATTTCCAGACTCGTGATGATGATCACCTTTGGAACCAGTTTCATCATTGAGTTGAGATGAAATCTATGGTGATGCAATGAGTTCCTTTATTAATCCAGTCTTAGTAGATGGCTGCACGTCATAAGTAGGGGACACTCAGCATAGGTAGGCTACTGAACGCTTTGTTATCGGTATTAAATATGCAGATAAGCTGTCAGCCATATGTGACAGGGATTCTGAGGTGAAGGGGATTACATTATTCGCTATTTTGTCTATACATCAAAGATTACTATTATGCTCAGCATGATTTGAAGCGGTTTAGAGCTTCCCGAAACTCAAGAGGGGTTTATTTTGGAAATCATCGGCCTAACTGGATTTTCTCTCCACCAGAACGTTTCTACTCTCAGTTTCATATTGATTTAATCTTCGAATTACCACAGTGAGTCACAATCGATACGCACACACAGTTTCCGGTGAGTTTCCGCCAATCACTAGGAGTGTTTCGTGAAGGAAATGGGGGGGGGGGAAATAACAGTGTTGAGTGGTGATCGAACTTTCGTTGGATGGAAGTTTATTGCTTCGGATTACCTATTAGATTAACTGAATATTTCCTCTGAAATCTCTGAAAATTCTGTAATGTATCTCAATGCATTTTTCTGAATAAAGCTGTTATCATAATTATTGTTGTTGTTGTTGATATTGCTGTTGTTACTTAGTTTCGCTAATTACTCTCCCAATAACCAGATACAGAATTTTAAAGTAACTATATATTTACTATTCCAGAAATTTAACCGACTAAATTATTTGAGATCAGTTCACCAAATATTGCTCAGAATAGCTTATTTTGATTTCAGTGAGATTAGTACAATTACAGTTGGCTTCTCAATTAAGTTTCATTTGGTGTCTCAACTTCCAAAAGGAATCTACAGGTTTACTCCTTACATGGAAAGAGTACCTAGGATGTTTTAATATTTTGCAGCTGATTGCTACATGGACAGCTATTTGTGCGTCATTTTATTGTACCTTTTGAATAAAATCACTTTTGATTGCGTTGGATCAAATAGGCATTTTGTGTGTAGTGTAATAGTTACGAGAACAAGAAACTCTTCTACCTAATATTGACGACAAATATAGTTCCATGCACATTAGTCACCACTACATATGGCCTCATATCTCATCTAGTAGGGAGTCGTGTTAGTTGTCCAAATACAATTGTCTTCAATCTTGTCGCGATCCAGATTTGTATTTCGTTCATGCATATTATTATAAACTTATCTGACATTGATATATTATAAAACTATTCATTTTTATAATTTAAATATATTTATTGCATATACGATGGAAAAGAAAGTTAATATTTTCAAAAGAGGTTATGCAGCATTTTCGTTTCCTAAACCTTTAGGTTTATTAGAGATTTAGTGAACAGAACATGGCTAACTGAGGAACTTATTTGTATGAGACAATTTGAATTTGAACGATTCATGCATAGGATATCTCCCCGATATTCTACGAATTGACATCAAGCGATTTCAAGTTCAAGCATGATAAGATTAAACACGTGCCATATAAATGCAGCTTACATTTTAAAAACATTTCCAGGTGAGAAAAATTGTAGACTTGCGTAATTATTTACGTAATACGCTGAAAAGTGCCTAAATTAACAATCATCCATTTTGGTTTATAATTTGCATATAACGTCAGTTCAGGGGTTTACACAAAATCAATAGTGATGATCGTCGTAATATATTATCTAACGCTTCTAACAACTTCCAGAACATTCATATTACCAGCATTTATGTGGAATTGCTGTAATTTGACGAAATTATTCTAAGTCAGCACAAGATTTAACTTGTTACTCATTTTGTTCATTAAGATATGCTGCTTCTTGTGATTTTAACTCCTGACCAGGTGGAATTTCTTTTCAATATGCGTTTAGACCTTATTACACCATCCACCACCAACTACTTGAATTGTTTTCATTGACTGTAAGTAACATTTCAGCTATGAAACTGTGGAAAAATTAATACGAACACTTTCTGTAATGTTATCTAAAAGATTCAAGGAGAGGAAGTGTATTATTTAATATTTTCATAAGAGGTTATATGGCAGTTTCGTTTCGCTAAACAATCAGGTTTATTAGAGATTTAGTAAAAAGAACATGTCCGACTGGAAAACCTATTCTTATGAGATATTTTCAATTTGAACAACCTATAGTATATTTCCCTACATTTCTGTGATTTTACAATAAGTGCAAAATGATGAGTGTTATAATCCAAGCGGTTAGTTCTGGTTTGAACATGATAAGACGAAAAACTTTTCAGGTATAAACAGCTTAGATTATCAAAACCTTTTAAGTTGGGAAAAGTGTAGACTTTCCTGATTATTTACGTACAATCCTGAAAAATGCCTATTCACACGCACACATTCTTGTTTATTATTTGCGCATAACGTTTGTTCAAGTATTTACGCAAAATAAGCAGTGCTGATCGTCGTAATTTATTCCGTCCTGATTTGAATTGTCCTCAAATCTTTATCGACCTGGCTCAACATCTATATGACAATCCCATAAATCAAGTGATCTTCAACGGAAATCTTAGCGTTTGACGTGAGAACACGAGTGCATTCTTTCTTCAATGACGCTGAATCATATGGTAGACTGTGGGAAGCGAGAATACATGAAGATGTTGGACCGACATGAAGACCCAAGAGTATATGGACTTTTCTGACGACTGTTGTCTGATTTCACAGAAGCTCGAAGACTTACGAGTGAAAGGAAACAAAGTGGCACAAGAAGCAATAGAGACAGAAATTCAGTTGTACATATAAAAGACAGAGGTGATGGAATTAACCAGCCAATAACGGCAAACAACATTCACTTTCAACATCCAGTTCTCCAATATAAGTCAAAATCTTGGCGTGTTACGAAAAATATCTACCTCAGATTGCAGACTTTCGTCAACAGCTGCCCTCACGCCTCCATACTGAAGATCAGATCTGAATTAGAAACATGAAACTGAGAGAACGAACCATCGAGAACCTACTGCCTAAAAACAAAGCTGAAGAAAATACAGATGGATGAGGCATATTCCGAGGGGCCGCTGATTGAGATCGCGCGCCAGGCACAACCTTGAGTGGTAGGTGAATGAGAATCAACGATTTGGACATTGTTCCATTTGTGAAATGGAGGAGATAGTGAGAGATGGAGATGAGAGATTAAGGGTTATCGTGAGACCAGCTCCACGGGTCTTCAAAGAACAGAACTAAATGGAGATGTGCCATTGAAGCCTCATGTTCCACTTGAACAAAAGACAATAATAAAAAAAGAAATACACAATTAAAAACAAACTGGGATGTGAATTTCTGTGAGAAATAAAATTACAAAAAACACGGCAAAACAAAAAATTCTTTTCATAACCTCTCATCAGAGCTCTGGGGTTAAATATTGTCTCTATAAATTATGCAGAATGTTCCACTGTTCACTGAATACCTAATCTAGTCGTACATGTGAAGAATATTTTGAAGATGATTGCCAAAAAGAGGAATCAGACGAACGAGTGGCTGAAATCTTGATTTCCTTGCTCTCATGCACCAGTCTGCGTCAAAAGAGGAATCTTGGAATATGTTATATAATGTAAGACTAATACTGTGTATGTCACAGCCGTTTTTTATCATCAGTCTTATCACGATGACGATTAGTTATCCTTCGACCTGTACAACAATTTGAGGTGGATTCTATCTTCATGCGTTTTCTTTTTTGTGTTCACATTCTGAACTTCAAAATGTGCTCTCTATAGATTCTATTATGCGTCTCCAAATCTTATGAACAGTATTTCTCTCTCCACACGCTTCCAGTTAAATGACAGCCATTTCTGAATACGCTCTTCATTTATTAATTTTAGATAATGTAAGTCTACGTTTTCGAATTTGGCAAATTTTCTAGTCTTTTCTTCTTGATACATAATTTCGTATGATTTGTAACCAACTCATGTCAATAACATATCTTTTTTGGCATTTCCTATGGCCTTTAGCAAGCACCAATCAGTTATACATCGCTGATGAGAACATAGTAAATGAATGTACTTTGCCAGCCGACAGTCCACTTCATGCGTAGCTGTTATGTTCTTTTATCAATTGTTATTGACCTGTTCACAGCTACATACATAAACCAGTTCTTTTATATACTGAAAAGTTAACTATATTAAGGTAGAGTAAATGACTTACGATATCTGAAGTAACGCCCCAACAAATACCAGTCAAGCAATCGAACACAAACTGAAATAAAATGTGGAACAATTCATGAATATTGCTCATTTAGACATTAATGACATCGAAACACGTAATTCAGACATAAAGTCCTTTCCACAGTGCTCAATTGTTTTTCCAGCACGACGGCATTTGCACACACAATTTTCTCATGAAATCGGTTGTTATCAAAATTGTTGAACTGTCATAGTCATAAGTGATATTAGCTTTATTCGACAGCTATATGACAATGCGACATGTCAAATGTTCCATAACCGAAAACACACAGCCTTTGAAGGGCATTGGTTTGCTCCTCTTAATCCTTATAACGCGTGTACTTCGTCAAAATTAGCACATTATTCCATATTTTCCATCGTTTCTTTGTGTATCCTGATTACAACTCATTGATTACAACTCATTCATCTGAATACCTAATTGAAATACACTTATTTAGTTCCATTTATGCATTGACCAATTTAGACAACTATGATTGTGTCAAGTTTTCGCTTTTCTTACTGTCCTCTTCCATGGAAAAATTATATGTAAATGCGATTTTACAGCTTACAAGAATGAATCCACCGAAAAGAGCCTCTTTACTTAGCAGCATGCTTTTCACTCATTCAATATGCAACAAATGACAAATGTTTGATATGAAATATCCTGAATCATCAAAAAATGAACAGTTTATTTGAAGATACTAATGGTGATTGAAGAACACGAATCTGTCTCATTTCAACATAAAATCAAACTACTAAAGTGCTCATTTAACAGTGTGTTGGGCAATGGCCCTTATTGCAAAAGGGGATGTTAACAGGCGGAGGCATGGTGTTTCGATCACTAGTGGCATTATGTTCGCGACTGATTCATTCCGTTTTAGTAATTTGGTGGATGGTGACTAGCAATGGAATCCAAGATGCACATTTTGTCCTATTTAAGACTATTAAGCTGGAGACGCCTGCATTCCCTAGTGAGTGGTGGTGTCCTCACTGACACTCGAACCCAGTACCTGTCGTTTCGAACACTAAGATGTTATGCTTAATGTGCATCCTGCATCCCACTGCTAGTCACCTTCCACCGAAATACTCCAGGTGAAATCATCAGACATCGTCAAGGCATTCGCATAAGCGGCCAACATGTCAAAAGAGACCTAATCTTTCAGTCCAGTCAGTGAACTGGAAAATAAAAACTGAATTAAGAATACATAATGTCACTTTATTTGATGGTTACCGAGAACTGCTGAAATACTCTTGTTACAAATGAATAATGTGTAAATGTCTTTCAGTGGGGTTCAGCATATCGGTTGTGACGAGAGATACACACCGATGACAATCAATGATGTTTGCATTATTTCATTATCGTGCAGAAGTTAGGATTCATGAGCCACTCTGTCGTGTCTCAGCGATTTGTTGGTCTAGAAGCTCACGACATAACTAGAAGGTCCTAGATTGGACCACTGATAGGTGGGGACGGGTGAAAAGTCCCACACTAGAACGGAAGAAACAGCTGTCGAGTACTCACAGTTTTTACAGTGATTTCTTTACTGATCCTGATATCATTCAGAATAATTGATTTATTCTACAGATTTTAGAAGTGTGACAGATTGTGTTATAACCCTGGAATAATGATAATAATAGTTATAGGTCAATAAAGAAACGAATTTTGGTTTCCCCAACAAAAGTGTTGCAGAAGACGACACTGCCATATGCTGTTACATATGTTATTTGGACAGTATAACTAATGCAAACCTGCAGGAGTTTATTTCAACAGAGTTATGGAATACGGGTTGGGAAACACAAACAAAAAATATATATTTCACTGGGACACATGACGTTTTGGCCATTGAAAAAAGTGCAGAACACGTAAGTTTAAACTAAATATCCCAGTGTGACTGACAGAGTGTTGACACTTTCAAGGAAACGAAATAAATCGAAAATTACAGGCATCATATCTATCAAAATCAGTGTTTACTCACAGTAATATTATTCAGAACAGAAAATACTGCGCCGCAAATGAATGCTACCGTAGCCACTTTCAACAGTTTGACACAATAAGATACGCTTAATTTTCCAACGTAAGTTGCGACGAAGCCTACAATTGTGTGTACTGCAATAGAAACACCGAGATATGTATTCAGTTCCACGAGGTTATGATTGCTACATAGTAAAGAGTAGGCAATTAACCAGAGCACGACCTAGTTGGAAAATTAATAGAAGAGCATAATATTAAACGTGTTTTATTATACAGAGGGAACATATTGAAATGGATTGAGAAATTATTTTTAACCAAGCATCAGTGTAAAGATTAGATTAACCAAGTGTGCATATTTACAACACTAATTGGGATGTTGCTCAGTATTTCCAGATTTTATCGAGGAAGTTGAATCACATGTGAGAACTTGTTGATGCGTCGCTTAACATTCACTTGAGCAGATAAGATTTCTCGGTTTCAGTGGTTTTCGTGAATTATATCTTACCTTCCAATATAATGAACATCTGATCGGAGGTAATTTTCTGGCTGTGAGGCAATCTTGCCTTCTTTCTTGAGTTATCACTGTACCTGTCAAACATCTCAGAGTTGTGTGATGAATATTCTGTCTTCAGTAGTTCATAAGTAAAACATTAAAGTGTATTTTATCTTTCACCCAATCAAAATACAACTTCTTTCTCAGGTGAATTTCTAAACGATCGCTATTTTTGGTTATGTAACTTGAAAATTCAAGAGACAGCAATATATGCTATCGTTTAGCTTTAACAAAGGTATATTTGCTAAAAGTCTCACCAACGAAAAAACATACCATCAATGTAATCAGCACAAAGGCGAAAGGTTGTGGAAGAAATTTACACTGATTGTTGACAGACAATAATATAAGCAGCAACAGACACATCACCCTGAAACGCAAAATGATGGAGATTGTGCATAAACTAGTTATTGTTGTAAATTGAAAACGTGTTTGAAAAATCCTTCTTGAACGTTCCAATCACAACATATCTATCTATTCGGACGGTGCAACTTACTCTGTGACTATCATCCGCTTGTTCTCACAGTGTACAGCGTTTTAAAATTCACATATCATGTGTTGATTTTATTTTTATAATTTGTCTTCATCCTTAGTTAAACTCTAATTGTATTGCTTCTGTCCTTGGTTGTGTGTACACTAATATTGTGTCATTTTAAATTGTAGTTTCGCTGTAGTGAATGAAGATCATTCCTACCTCGAACAGTCCACTGGAAGCGTTGGTGTGTGATTCGTGTGTACGATGATTTTAATCTCACCTTGTTGGGACAACTCTACTTGATTTCCAGGGGACTTCTTCTGCTTGACATTTGGTAAAATAATTTTGTTTTACATGGCTCGTTTTGTACTTAGAAACTCATATTGAGCTTGTCGATGCCTGACGACCGTGTTGAGGTAGTTTCGAGTTTTTGGTATAGTTTTTTGAATAGAAACACACTTAGATAGTAGTCACAATTAATGGTCATTTTGCTGCCCTTGGAACGCTTTGTAACTGAGTATTTATCAAGAAATTTCAACGTAGCCAAACAGGAGGACTCAAGGAGCGATTCTCTGCGTTTAGACCGTGATGAGTCGATTTAAGCCGCTACACAATGCAGGAAGTCCTCTGTACATGAAATGTTACTGCTCAGTGTTACTTGTATTTCTGACGCTTGACAACAGATGTTGAATATGTGAAATAAATTATGGAAAGAGGCAAAAATGGTTTAAATAAGTCAGCGTATATGAGGTGAGCACTGAAGTTTATGGATACGTGAGAGGGATCTTTTGTTTAAAAATCGAACTTGTCATTAGATGAACAGTTAGCATGGAATGATATCACTAATCATGGAGAGAGAAGCAAATCACCTCAGATTATATTTTGACTTTTTGATATGAGTTATTCTACACTGGGAACGGATTCCGAAGCGTGCAGGCTTTCCTTTCTCACGTAAACACAGTTGATGAATACACATTCAGACGGCAAAGCAGAATATTTACGAGTTGTACATATTTTCCAGGTAATAACACGTTCGATGAGTCTACTAGAGAGCATTTGCTGATGAGTATAATGTATTTGGATAGAAACCTAAGTGATTTTCCCTTCAACTGTCAGTTATTTGAAAGCCGTATTTCACGGTGAGGCTTAAATATTCAAATAAAACTTTTAGTAGAAAGATGGAAATTAAACATCCAAATTTAAACTTACATGAGTACCAATGCTATGTCTGAATATCTGTTCGAAATATAACCATTTTTCATTACATAGGAGGCCCCATATTTAAAAATCTGCCCAAACATATTGTTCATTTCCGTCGAATTCATCTGAAGGAGAAAATGGTGAGGAATTTTAGCTCAATGGCATGATTTTCATTTGGTGTGGATCAACAAGACGGTTGGTTTAAATGCAAAGCTTTTGTCGTTCTTCTGAATAACATCTTCATGGAGATTTGAAATATGTCCATTTCATAATAGAGGTTCCGCTGAAGATGTTTGCCAGAAGGAGGATGCATGCCGTGCTGACCAGTGCAAACAAGCTCAAAATGCAGATCGAAGGCTTCCTGCAGATTGCTTCTATCCATCTTATACTATATTTATATGAGGTGCGACGAGCGTTAGAGGCTTTACTGTTTATTCACTAGCTGATTGGTAATTTGTTCGAGAAATAAATATAAAATGGCCACTTATGACTCCGCTGTGTGTGCCGCAGTTTAACTGCTTCAAAGGAGTGAATTACACCAGACTCACATTGGATCTGCAAGCCCTACCCATCTTGATTGGGTGAAAGACTAATTAAGGCGAGATGTGGTGCTATCTTCATACAACATATCAGTTCGGGACTAATGTGACATCCAAAATAATGGCATTACATTGAGCCTTTCTCATGCTCTGCAACTCCAAATATTTCATTCAACAGAGACAGTTAGAATAAAAACAGAATAAAGCTAAAATGTTTCTTCGATTGAATACTTACTTCCACTTTCATTGTTGCTGTCGTCAGCATACTCGCTACAAAGCCCTACAAATGATGTTTTCCCATGTAATCGTTACTCTTAACAGACATTTCAATTACTGATATTGTATTATCATTGTCAGTATCAGCTTAGCTGATCCGTGCAGTCTCTTCATATCTTGGTTTTACTGAATAATAATTAGACAATTCATCCTTCCTAATTATAATTATCTTATCTCATAGTAGTTTGTTTATTGGATATGCCAGAAAGTGAAGCAGACTTAATTACTGGATGGCATTTTGAAGACAATTTGATGTTCATAGTCGTATCAGTCATACCACACGTGATATAAATATGAACCAAAAATTTCATTCGAATTGACGAAGTGCTTCATTTTGATATATGTATCCCATGATCAAGCCAGTTTTGCATTGCATACTATGACAGATGCAACGGAAACGTTATTTGGAAAATGACTCTCGAACGATCCCATCAAACATTCGTACTTATTCGGACGTTGGAACCAACCTTGTAATCATAATCCGTTTCTCTTCTATACTGTTTGACATTATTTTAACATTTGCATATCATGTGTTTATTTCATCCTAACTAGTTGTCCTCATCCCTAGTTAATAGTCTAATTAAAATGATTCCCTTCGTGGTTGTGTGTCACTTTGCGTCATTTTACCTTAAGACTTTGCTTGAGTGAATGAAGATCCTTCTTACCTCAGACAGTCGGCTGGAAGAGTTGATGCTTGATTTTCGTACACAGAGATCTCACCTCGTTCGCAATACTTTGCTTGGTTAGAATTGGCTGGTTTTCTAAAAAGACTGGACTATATACCTTTTTCGTGGCACTGTAAATGTATGTTTGACTTTCTGGTGATGTTATTTTTCAAGAGGATCGCGAAATTATTTCAGAATAATCGTGTATATTCTGTCCATGGAGGGTTTTCCAAATAAGCATTTTTCAAGAAAATTTCAAACAGTTATGTTGGATATCGCAGAGATGGGTTACCTGCATTCAGACTATTTGGAGGCTGTTTTGGTCACAACACAACAGTGTTCACATTTTACTGCATATATCATCATTATCTCGATTATGTGATTAGATGTCGCTTACTTTTAAATACTAACGAGTCTAGATTTCCGTAATTATTTTCTCCGCATGTCAACTACAAAACTGATATTTTTTATTGTGACCAGAGTGCCACCCCATGGTAAGCCTAATTTTTATCTGTTACTGACAGCGAAATTCAAGTGGAACACACATCGATGTTTAACCTATTTGACATTTCTATGCATGTTCTGACACGCAAAATGTTTGAACAGTGTGGCATATTCATGTGAATTTCGTGAAGTTTGTATCAGAAGGAATCAGTTTAAAGAGTTCATATCATCAATTATTATTCGCTCACTATTTCTCACTCATTAGTCTTTCAGAAAACCGACTTGAAAATCAAAATTTAGAAGTGTATATCTATCGGTGGCATAGCGGTTATGACGCTCGCCGACCATGCACATAGTCCGAACTTCGATCTTCGGCCGACGCCGCACTCCTTTACCTCGCTAAGCCAGAAATAATGCTGGTAAAGAGGAAAGGTTGGGCATAAGGCTAGCAACCTCATCTTGTAAAATTAAACACTGCTACAGAAAATTCAGCCACTAGCTTGAAGCCCTATGTTCCACTGGGGAATGTGAAGGAAAAAATATATCCATTGGGAGGACTTTGGACGATATAGTTCAGTTATCTTCATATGAAACATGTGTGTCCATATGAATAAAAAACTCCGGCTCAAATAGTTTTGACTACCTGACGGCTACAGTTCATCTAGGTTTCACAGGAATCGATGCCTGATTCATAGATTTCGATCATATGAATATCTCGGGAATAAGTGAAAGAAATAAACAATTCGGCTATAGTTTCGTGCTCACTTGTCTCTTCTCTCAAGTTTTTAATCGTTTAAGCATGAGCAAATACGAATATATCTGCAATGTCATGTCGCTTATGTCATATCTAATCTATTACTACTGATGTTGTACCAGTCACCAGCTCATGCCTGGTAAGGGAAATATAACGAAGAAATAAACCACGTTGTATATAACTTACAATTGAATGTACTCCTCCTCTAATTCACATCCTAGGTAGACTTGTTCAGACTTGACTGAAATAAAAAATTTTATTTAAATTCAAGCCATTTATTATCATGATACACTGTGGTTAGAAAGCAAAGATCAAAATATTCTAGCTATCCAATCTGTTCAAAAGACTTTTTAAGATAGTCGAATGATACACACACAAAGAGCACAACATATTCAATTCACGTTGGAAGATGTGATGTGGTTTACTGACAAACGGTCAAAGTAAACCAATACTGAATGCAAGCATACTAATCTGCGTAAAGCAGATTCTTATGAAAAATAACAGTTCCCGTTTGTTGTGTATAGGAAATTAAACAAGAAAACTGAATCTCTCGGCACAATATCCGATGAATTGTCGAAACAATTCATTTCTTACAATCCTGATAATATAACATGGTATCACTCGGTTATGAAAACGGTAGAACTATGTCAGATCAAATAAACTCATTCAAAAGTGTTCTACGAGTATTTGTATCAAACATGTGAGGTGTAGACATGCGCTCCATCTAACCAACACTCACGCTTAGAAACATTAGTCATTCGAAGGCAAATAACAGTTGTCATAATGTAGTAGTACCTTGAGGTAATGACGATTAGTTGAAAAATTTACGGCAACTTGAATATTGAGGATTGAAACCAGATATATAGCCTTTAAATATTGACAAATTTGTATTCCACAAATTTTCAGTTACCATGGTGGCATCCTGAAAATATCTTGTCTCTGCATGCTTTTCAACCATTTTTCTGAACTATGTTAGCTTTATTTCATCTTTAGAATAAGCCCAAAATGATCAGAATCTACAAAGAGTGACACAATGAAGATTAAAGCTGTAGAAGAGTTTCGACTGCGATTATTGATTGAAATTATTTGTCTCCAGTCAGTGGTATAATAAAACTTAAGCTCAAAACAGTAAACTATGAATAATGGTCAGTAAATTTGATTTATTTCAAATTGTACAAAAAAACTGGTGTTTAGAAGGATGATAAATAGGATGGAACCATAATTCAATCGATTATTCTCAAATTCTGATATAAGTTGATCCAATGGTGATAATGGTTGTTCCTCTGTGTGAAATGATGGAAGAGTCTAAGAAAGAACTGCACTGACAGCCTACTCCTTCCTTCATACAATCGGATATCAAAAGATGAGGGGAAATTCACTTTGACTGAATATCGCGTTAAATTTAAGAATCAGACAGAAAGTTAGATTAATCCGGGTTCACTGGACTGACGAATACGAATAATTCAATCTTTCTCCCCCATTTAACATAGGTCGGCTATTTTCTGCCTCAATAATAAGGAAACAATTCGGTAACTACGAAAATTTAGAAAAGTAGCCTCTTTACCAACAGCAAAACGTTTTCTATGGATTTCTTCTTGCCAAGTGTGCTGCTTTCTGCAAATTCGCTTGAAAAATAAGAGTAATGTTTTCGCATCCTATCGACCGACTAAACATCCTGATATTTAAATTTGTTATCGCTTGCGAAACAACCTATTAGCGAATAGAACATTTCTGGGAGACAGATCGAGGGAGACAAATCAGGATAAAGATGACAAAATAATATCGGTGACGGGATGTAAACATAAAAGTGCTATCGGTGAAGTAGTTATGTACCGCTGCTGAGTGAGTTATTAGGGTTTTCCCCGTCGCCAATTATGTTATGTACTCGTCGAGTAGTTAATAGTCCTGACGCAGAGAGAGGGAAATCAGAAGACCACCAGGCTTACGATGATACTTGTATTTTCCAGACAAGGAAAATAAATGTCACACAAGAGTGTGAGTGAAATGGTACCAATGTATGAAATGTGTGTGAACCAGAATAATGTACAAGTGTCTAATACAAAAGTATATATGAAAATGGCTAATATACATGAACCAATAACATAACGTCTTACCATGGTTGGTTGTAATGTCATGTGAGCACAAGGTCATACATTGTTTATTTAGTTGGTGACAGACAAAAGCATAATGTCAGTAATAATAGAATATCGATCCATATACACATAGCAAAATATAATAGACTGTCAAAAACAAAATACGCATCATGTTGGTATATATCTGAATTATAATTTTTTGATGGAAAATTTTATAAATTGGTATCAAAACATTGTGTATATACAATAACAGATTCAGTAATCACTACAAGAACGTGATGTAACAGGCGAATTCTCAGTGAAACCAGTACTCAAATATATGTGTACATATGCTAATATACACTTATTTTTCGT